AGGTTAAAAGCTAAGTGGACTTTAACTACTTGGACTCACCAGATTCTGGAACCTTCCAATTCTGCCATCTTTAAATGGGAAGAGCAGCCTATAAAGTTGCAGGAATATTTTCAGCCCTTAATAACTTTTTTTCGCTTTTCAACAACGTTAAATAACAGGAATATTTATTTTCCTCTCGGCTCTTGGTATCCACACTTGTGAATTAATTGTCATCAAGTCTTTTTTAAAAAATTTTTTCTCCTATTTTTTTTTTCTCTCCCTTGGGATGTAATCTTATTTTAGCAACTGCAAGCCCTTATCTAAACCGAGGAGAATCTTATTTATGCGGCCCTGTTTCCCAGCTCTGCTTCGAGGGAGAAGAAGAGAAGGGATTGGGGAATCTTTTCCACACGATGAGAACATATTTTCATGATATAATATATTCCACGTTTAGCATTTTGGCAGTTTCGTGCTGCACAGACAATGCTGAGAATGGCTTTTGACTTGGGAAACCACCCCAAGGAATCACAACTCAGGTTGTTTATTGCTGAAAATCTTGCTGTTTGATGTGCGTGTGTGTTCTGAGCCGAGAATTTCTGTATGCATCTATGTAGAGTACCCATGTGGGGTCAAAAAAGTCAAAATGGTTACGGTTAATATATGCAGAACCAGATATGTAATCTTTTAATCCAGTGGTGAAATCCAATTTTTTTTACTACCGGTTCTGTGGGCGTGGCTTGGTGGGCATGGTGTGGCTTGGTGGGTGTGGCTTGGTGGGCATGGCAGGGGAAGGATACTGTAAAATCCCCACCCCACTCTAGGGGAAGGATACTGCAAAATCCCCATTTCCCTCCCCACTCCTGGGGGAAGGATATTGCAAAATCTCCATTCCCTCCTCACTCTGGGGCCAGCCAGAGGTGGTATTTGCCGGTTCTCCAAACTACTCAAAATTTCTCCTACCTGTTACAATGTAATAAGGGTTAACCAGAGAGGCAGTTTCTGTAAGCAGGGCAATAAAGATTAGGCTAGAAACAACACCAGAATGTTTCCTTCCTACCTTCCTTACAGGATTAGCCCTGTAAAGTGGGGAAAAACAAAATAAGATTTCTTCCAACAACCGGTTCTCCGAACTGCTTAGAAAGTTAACAACCGGTTCTACCGAATAGGTGCGAACTGGCTGAATCCCACCACTGCCCATAGACACTCACAGTTGCACATACAAACACAGAGACACACAGAGACAAACACACAGAAACACACACATACCTGGATGCTGTACTCTTTTTATACAATATTTTGTTTGTAAGTGGCCCCAGACTGGCTGCAATAAATTTGCAAAATTTATATTATTTCCTGCTTCTCTTTTATTTCCGTGAATGTTTTTAATAACGATCATATTTTTAAACAAGGGCCACAGGTTTCATTGCATGATCACAGATGTCATTTTAACCATATTTTTTGGAGTATAAGACGCACTTCCCCTCCCTAAAAGAGGATAGAAATGTTGGTGTATCTTATACACCGAATACAGCCATTTTTGGCCTCCCGAAGCCCCACCCTGCTTGTCCCATTTTTGCAAAAAAATGGGCCCTTTTTTCACAAAAGCGGGGCATGCAGAGGGTTTGGGAGGCCTGCAGAGTGCTCCTGGAGGCTGGGGAGGGCAAAAACTTTTTTTTTCTTACTTACCTCTTCGAAATTTTGGTGCATCTTATACACAGGTGTGTTTTATTGTCCGAAAAATACGGTACTTCCTGGAAGGTCTGTCTGTCTGTCTATCTGTCTCCCCCCCTCCCTCTCTTCCCCCCCTCTCTCTTTGTGTGTGTTTATGTTCTTGAATATTCCTTATTTTCTCTTCTTCTCTTGCAAGCTTCCTGAGTTAACGTTAGAAGTTAAAAGGCGTCCCTCCCCTTTTCTTGTGGCCCGTCGGCTGCCAGCAGAGCTAGCTGCAGAGTCAGATGAGGAGGAGGTGGAGGGAGGGCCTGGCCTGCTTCAGAGCCTTTGGAAGGAATAGGGAATATTCCCTGTTGATAATAATATAATAAGGAAACAGCATCAGAGACAGAGGCAGAGCCAGGGCCTTCAGTCCTCCCCCAAGTGGAGAGGCAGCTATCTTCGGGGCCTGAGCAGAGTGAGGGGGAGGAACAGATGGGGCCCATCCCAGATGTGCAGAGAGGAGAGGAGAGCAAAGGAAAGCAATAAGCCGGCTCTCAGGGAAAAGCAGACGTAGACGCTAGCCAGCCCCTCCCTGGCTGGGGAATAAATAGGAGGGGTTTGGGAGTGGCTGGTTGTCTCAGACAACTATTCGTTTCTAGTGTACAGCAAGCAATTCAGATTTCTTGGATAAATCCAGGTTTGTTGGGACTACCGTGTTTTCCGGAAAATAAGATCCGGTCTTATATATTTTTTTTGCCACCAAAAATGGCACCAGGTCTTATTTTCGGGGGGAATGTCTTCTACTAACTCATCTCACTTCTGCACGTCGCCCCCAGCATCCTTTTCGCTGTCAGAGATCTTCAGGAAAGCTTTGATGGCTTCAGAAGAAATGGGCCAGAAAGGCAGGTGTTGGGGTGTGCGAGGACTTGGCTGCAACTGTCCAAAGGTAAGTAGTAGGGCAGCTCCACTACCCCCATCCCCACTCTACCTGTGCACTCTGGAGTGGGTGGGGTCTTAATTAGGGCTTTTTTGCGGGTAGGGCCTATATTGGGTGCATGTGTAAAAATCAAGCTAGGAGTTAATTTCGGAGTAGGTCTTTTTTTTCAGGGAAACATAGTTTGCTTTTTTGCTTTACCCCTGTGAATAAAAGACTGTTATAAAAAGGGGGTTGTTTTACTTGCGAGTAACCATCTTACCAACACATTTTAGCATCTCACTGGCTCCACGGAAAAATCCCTTCAGGATAAAGGAAGGTACCAGATCCCCTCAAAATAAATCTACACCTAGGGAGGAATCCACATATCTAAGGGTGATCTTCCTTTCTGGATTTTACACGCACTTCGGGATCAAAGCTGGAGCACCTCAATCTGCACATCTAAACAGGAAGGACATCCAGGGAACCAGCACGTACACAAACCACAGCTTCCAAATCCACACCAAGGGAGCAGCCCCCCCCACCACCCATAAAACCAAACCTCTGGACCCCAATTCCTTTTGTTGTCTACCCAACCCCAAAACAAATCTCTTTGTTCTTGGGAATAAATGGATCTCCTTCCTCACAATATGTCTGGGTTTCATTTTTTTGATTGGTTCTTGCGCCACCCCGGCTCGTGGAACCCCCCAAACACCTTCAGACTTTGTGGGTGCTTCAGCACTGGTTGACAGTCACCTGCTTGAAATGGTAGAGGGCAGTGATGGCGAAGTGTGTGTGTATATATGCGTGATAACAAATGCGCGTGCCAGGACCCATAATGCAATGCGACCTCCCACCCATGCGCATGTGCACATGACACCCCACGCATGTGCCCCGTATTGCGCACACTTCCCCATGTATGCATTCTGCATTACGCATGCACAGTCCCCCACATGCGCTTTGTGCCGCCGCCCTCCCCCCCACCGTGGCTTGTTTTGGGCCTGAGAAGTCTGGGCTTTCGGGGGAAGGGATTGAAGTCCCGGCCCGCTGCCTCTGGCAGCGCAAGAACCGCCGCCGCTGGGTAGAAGGGGGTGGTGGGAAGAATGTGCTGTCTGGGGCTTCCTTGTTTTCCCACCCGAGCAGGCTGTCCAGGGAAAGAGATTAAATCCCCTGGCCATTGCTTCCGGCAGTGCAAGAACTGCCGCTGCTGGGTGGAAGGGGGTGGGGGTGGGAAGGATCCCTCACCCCCTTCCACCCGGCCAGCTGATTGTCATGCACACATGCGCACCGGTAACCTGCAGACTAGCTGGCTGGTGCGCATGCGTGCCCTGGAAACCCAGAAGAGGAATGGCGACACGACGCAACGCATGCCAGGCAACATGGCTCTGCGTGCCACTTCCGGCACGCGTGCCATAGGTTCGCCAACACGGGTATAGGGTCTCCTGCTGGAACAGGGGGTTGGACTAGAAGACCTCCAAGGTCCCTTCAACTCTATTCTATTCTATTCTATTCTATTCTATTCTATTCTATTCTATTCTATTCTATTCTATTCTATTCTATTCTATTCTATTCCATTCTATTCTATTCTATTCCATTCCATTCCATTCCCTGTTCTGTTCTATTCTACTCTATACTACTCTACTCTACTCTATACTACTCTACTCTACTCTACTCTACTCTACTCTACTC